TCCCTTCCAATCTCTAACACTCTGTGATAATCCCAAACACTGCCATTTAGACTGCAGGTTAAAATTTCCAAGACGAACAAGTTCACGGGATCTACTCTTAAGTGCACATACACCGCTATGTGTAAACCAAGCCTGACAGAACATATGAATACAAATGTAAGATATACTAAACACTTTCACAGTTGAAATATCATTATTTGCTATAACAGTAAAGGAATTCCCAGGAAAGGAATCCTTCAATAAGGAAATCTTAAAAGATTCCTATATTGACATATTCCTATATATACACAAGAAAATCTCCTTAAGTCACAGCACTCCTCCCACCCCTTATTTTTAAAAAAAAAAAAAGCTCATGTTTACAGTGTATCATCTTCCAATTTGATTTGACTTGACACAGGGCCAAAACTGTATGCATCTTCTCTTGTGTTGCCAAGAGGCAGCCCTTGGAATAGTGTTTCAAGTCATGATGAACATCAGGGAGGCAGAGCTTACAGGGCCAAAATTGTTGAGGTCATGCCAATGAAAAAGTTCCTCTATGCTAACTGTTCTATAGTACACATTACCACTTTTCACGACTTCCCTCCATAAGGGACATATCCTGAGTTTCAGGATGCAGAATCAAACAGGTACTTCTGAGAAGTGCCCCAGTAAGCAAGAGCAACCCTTCTAAGACCTTCAAAAAAGTTTGAAATTAATGTACTTGAGCCAGCAAGAGTAAGCAATTAAACTTTTATTCATGATCATTTACATATGACTAAAAGTGTTCACCACAAAATGCAAACTTTCAGTTATCTTGTATTTAGCAGTGAAAATAGTCATCTCTGTAGTAAAGCACCAAGGAACACATGACAGAACAGTCAGAAACAGATTCCATGTACCAGTTTTTCCCCTTACAATGTACATGACAAGGTTGAAGATCTTATGAAAGTCTAAAAGTTCCAGAACAAATTCTAGAGCCACCTGAGTGTGTGGCAGGAACAGTATTATTTAGTAGCAGTTACATTACCTGTAGTGGACTTTACTTAGTACTTTTTTTTCACTTTTTTTCTTTCAAAAAAAAAAAAAAAAAGAGCTACTTTTCACAAAGCTTAAACAGACACAATTGGGCCTAACACTGGGTGTCATATTTCACCTGAATTTTTCAATGGGAGCTAAACAGAACAGTTTTCTAGTAGGAATATCTACAACAACTATGAGAGCAGATATCAAGAGGAAAGAAAAAAAAAAATCAGCTCATTATAGCCTAATTGGTAGGGCCCAAACACTTACAGGCACCTATACCCACTACTCCACTCAGCTTCTTCCATTACATTTAATTACCATTTCATTCAAACATACTACACTCAAGAAGACAATGTGATTTTTTAAGTTAAGTGAAGTTGTGTACATGGACAAATACATGTACACAGTTTTGGTAGTCATTTAAAGCTGTAAAATTTATATGTAAAAAGAGTTCTATGGACCCCATTACAGATAAAAGAGAAATAACCAGTATCAGTGTTACATGCAAAACAGTATTCTAACACAGTAATCAATATAGTTATCAAATAATTCATTAGAGAATAAAATTGTTATACAAAGAGAAATACTGCCTTTTTATCACTTCAGAACAGCAAATAATAAGGCAACATTAAGAAAAGTGCACAATAGAAAAAAATTGTTCAGTTTTCTGAAAAAGTTGAATTTTTCTTCAGACATCAGGCTTTTGTCCGGAAATGTATTGGGTTAGGATTGCTTATATTCTCTCCCAGATCAGTCTCTTCTTGCATTAGTTCTCAGTAACGCGCTTACTCTGACATGTAGGAACGATACATCAGGGCCACGATGATTGCTACTATTGCTGGGATCACCCAGTTGGACCATGAACTAGAAAGAAGTTTTTGAAACAGCAGCTTAGGAAGTGATAACCAACAAGTTTAAACAAAAAAGTAATTGCTTAAAGAAGTCTTTCCTCCCCTCCCCAACAAATACTTTGAAGACAGGATAACAGAAAACCTGGCTAGAGTATTACTGGCCAGCCCAAGTGAAAAAAAAACTTGTACTGTTAAGGCTTTGGACTAGAGCTTGCTAAAAGTTTGCTTACTAGAGAAGAGCAGGACTCTAGACACACTTAAAGTAATGGCATGCTGTGCAGAACATCGTTCATTCAAACACCATTTAAGTATCAGCATCACATGTCACTTTCAAGCACCCAAACTCCCCACTCAGAGGGGCATCAAACAGTCCTCTGAGGTTTCAGCAATAGGCAATTGTGAGCAGGATATAACTTTCCATAAAGTTTGAGTCAGCGGTGTTCTGAAGTGGTTCCTCCCCCCCACCACCTCCCAATTCTGACACAATTTTCCTTCTTACAGACATAATCCTCTTGTTTCCCTTAGATGCAACAGTTGCAGCAAGTTTTAAAAGTGAGGAGTCCATGTCAGTAAAAAAGTCAGCAATGGCACCAAGTGTCTTCTATTCAAATACTAGCCTCCAGAAATGAAGGCTTGTGCAACATTAAACCACTTGGTAAATACTGATACATATCAGTGTGAGAAAAAATCTAGACAGTAAGCTAACATGCTTGTCAAGTGGTACACAGATGCCAACTTGGACTTTATGTAGAATAGAAGTTTTCTTGCCCCATCCTCCGACATCAGAAAGAAGCTATCTGCTTCCAGCAGATAGAAGCTATTCAGCTTTCTAAGCTTCGGAAACATCATTATGAACTGTAAGTTTGACATCATGTGTCATACTATACCTGGAATTAGACTGAACAGTGGTAATAAGAGTTTCCTGAAAAGCAAACCATAAAAAGATATTTACATCAGGCAGACATCCCTCTCCATCTTAACTAGCCCCTCAGTTTCTCAAAACTCATTAAGTAGGACTAATTTGAAAACAACGTAGTGCATTGCATTTAGAAAGCATTTTCTCAGATTTCCTATAACAGACTGTCATATTAGAAGCTAGCTAGCAGCAGTTTCTGTAGTCAACATTGCATCAAAAGTCATTAGCAATATATCATCATGGGATTGCAAGTTTTCCATGAAGCTAAGTTCAACCTCAGGTAACATTTGAAAAGTTTTAGTTGCCTAGAAGGCAAAGATCGCTTACTTGCCTAAAATCTAACCGAAAAACCTCCCAATTAATACACATATATTTCTTATATGGAGCCTACATGAAGAAAGCTACTAATTTAAATCCACAAGGCTTTTTCAACTCAGTTTTTTAATGTGGTCTTTCAGATTGTATAAGAATCAGTCAAGTTATTATAGTTGTTTCCAATATTGATTTGGACATCTTATTCAGTTTCTATAGAAAAAGAAGCACTACAAGATCAAATCCCAGTTGGGTATATCTGCACAATTTATATGAAGACTTACTGATTTTAATATTACTAATTACCCATGGCCCTAAGTGCATTTAAAAGATCCAAGGATTAAAACAGGACTTAAATTTAGTGGTACAAGATCCATCACTGAAAAATGAATTACTTCAGTATCAGAATATTTACAATTCATTTAAAGAGCAAAAGAATCCTAACATCCTCTCATAGGTTTAAGCAAGCTACTTTTTCAAGCACTCAAATCATCACATGTTTACACATGACAAATACCACATTTAAAAGATTAAAAGATTATGTCTATATTGGTTTTGTCAATGCCTCAATGAAAAACTAACCCTAAACAGCATGGAACAGCTATGCCCATGCTATCAAGGCTAACACACCTTCTAGAACAGACTTCCCACTTCCATGGTCAGTGGATGGTTCCCCCCCCACCCCCCAAAAGACAGTAAGAAGACTATGGCCCAGCTCATCAAAATCTGTTTTTAAACAGTATGACACTGGACATGTACACTGAGGTACTCTAAATACAGTGCAAGGATGAGAAGGACATTTGAAAGCACAAGGCCTTCTGCCAGCTCCTAGAGGGCCAGGGCACAGGACCTGTCACATTATACACACAGAACACAGTGCAAAGTGAAACTCTTATCAGCTATGGCCACATGTCCTGCTGGAGGAAAGTGCTCCAGCTTCCTCCTGGAATCACAGAAAACACACACACAGCATAGATAACCATGACCAGCACCAAAACAAGTGAATAAGCCAAAGAAGAGTGTAGTAAAAAGCCATTTGGATACATCTTAACTCCCAACTGGCTACTACCCTTTGCCCAAACTAATATTCTAAGTACTGCAGTTTAGTAAATTCCTGTAAGCTTCATCAAGGGATTGTATACTACAACTTGCACTGGTCAGTCTGTTTCTCAGTTGCATTGGTAGTTGCTGCTCTTACAGCTTCAGTGTAAATTGCCCCGAATTTCAAAAGAAATCCAAACAGCAGATGTTACTCCTGGTGGGAAGAAGCTCTGAATTGCAGTCATTCAGCAAAATCTGCTGAAACAGACAGGAAGCAAGCTGTATTTTCACCTCAAAAAGGGTTCATAATTGCAAATTAACTGATCTATAATACAGCAATCAAATGTCTCTATATTCTGTATCTACCAGTGTTACCAATATGTTGTTACACACCATACCTTTTCCCCCACAAACACTTATTAGTTTAATCCATTCTGTCTAAACAGATTTTTTTTTTCTTAAATTGAATACTAAAAAGCCCTTGACTGATTCTAGACTCACTTTTTTGCTATAGTATAATGCCATCACACTTGGTAACCTTTTGGTTCAAAACAACACAATTTAAAGAAAAGAACAGCTAAGAGGAAGAACAAGTTGAAGACAGATGAACAGGTTTAAGAGATTTATGACCTGAAACACTACACTTAAATCAACCTAAATTATTTTTGCCTCTGCGGTGTACCATTTATCGAGAGGACACTGTCCCTGATGCCTAAAAGAAACAATGTGGCATTTCAAGAAACAGACTTACTGCTGGTTTCTGAAGCTTCGCTCTGTCATCCTGCAAAGAAACAAGAAAAAAGGAAATATTTAGACAAAACCCCAAAGCATTCAAATAACATCTATCACTAAATTCAGTTTGCAATTCTATTCTGTTAATGTGTACCTATTTTTACCTAGGAAACAGGCTTGCAAAAGAGCAGATGACAGTGTATGATTTTGAGCTACCATAAACAAGATCACTTCCTTAAATAATCCTTCCCAGTATACAATAAAGTGAAAGCTGAGTCTCCAACATATTTATTTCTTGTGCCCATGTTTTTGCATTACCTTGGTCTCTAAACAGTACATGTAACCTTAGCTTAGACACTGATTACAATCATATTAGTTTACTTCTACCTCATATACTATTATGCAGTCATCTAACTAGTTTTGGTCCAACATCCAGTACAAAGGTCCCAAATTCTATGGATCTTTCATAAACTGCTTAGGTTTTACTTGAAATTGTCACACTCATTACAAAAAAAGCCCAACAGTACATAATCTTGATAGTTTCATGTACAAATACAGCACTGTCAAGATGTTTGTTTCTTATGAAATGAAAACAGGCATTTCTCAAGCAAGGAGGAACTGGACTGGTAACCAGGTTAAGAACAACTTTACTGGCATCAATTGTCATCTGAAATAAATAAGCCTATAAGGTTACAAATGCATATCAGAGCTGAATTATTTTGTATTAGGAGAAGCTACACTATAAATATTTATCAAGACAGGACCTAAGACAGATACAAGACCAGGAATCTTACTATGAAATATACTACTCAAGACAGTGATACTTACCCTGAATGCAAGACAAGAGACAGGGATAGGCAGTAGAGTAGAGCAGATAGGAACGCTAGCAGCCTAAATATCTAACAAGTGGTTTTCAACTATTAAGATGCAGGAGAGTTTAAATAAGGCCTATCTGAAGGAAGCCAAGGCAGCACCTCTGTAGCTAGAAATAAAGTCTACAAAGCTTGAAGCAACAGAAAGGTGCTTGTTAAAAGTACAGGAAATGGTAAGGAGAGTACAGAAGAGAGGAAGTAACAGATGATCCAGTGGGAACTGATCATAAACAACCCTAACAACTACAAGTAGGGAACACTGATACAGCACAAAACAGGAAGCCAGAGCATCAAACTACAAGTAAATGCTTAGAGTAGCCATTTTCTAAACATACATATGAAGAGCCAAGATTGTACTTTTAGATCCAGACGGGAGCCTGGCATATATATATTTACAACACTGAAGAAGGAAAGCAGATGTAGTCACTCTACATATTAACATAAGAAAAGGTCTAGACATTCTGACATATCACCTTCAGGAATTACAGAGTGTCATTATAAAGCTCACAGGGTACACCAGAAATGGCATGATTCCATATTCAGCTCATTCAAGGGCTAAACTGTAAAATATTTCAAAGCAGTAAACTTTTAGATGTGACCATCCTTATGCTACACTAATCAAATCCCTTCACACTGGATGTCCAGTCCAGGTCCATCCACAAACAGCACAGGGCTGTCATCCAGCCAAAGTAGCAGCCCTCCTTTATTCCGAAGTAAATTACCAGAGAAATAACTACACACAAAAACACTGTAGTAAAAAAACCCCAGAACAGCAAGTACTAGTACTCTCACATACTCACCGGGTGAAGTTCCCCAACAATAAAGGTTTCTGACAGTGTCCTTGCATCTGTGGAATGACCAACATCTTCAAAGTTCTCAGTAGCATCTCCTCCAGCTTGCTCCCTGAGGACTTCTTCACCACCAGGGTGCTGCATTTTTTAATGTGTTAAAATTTGTTACTGAAAACCATTCCACATTCTATAAATGAAAATTCTTCATTTTTACATTACTGAAAATAAAAAAAGTTATCCTTGCAAAATCAGCTGCTAGACTTCTTAGAGCAAACATAAGCATCTCTGAATAACAAGAAAGCTTTATGTATTCTCTGAAGCCAAAAACCAAGGAAGTTAAGTCTCTACTCCACCAGCAAGGGAGAAGTAAGCAACTAAAGTGTTTAGAACATGATGGGAATCAGTCTAAATAGCCCAACTACTATCTGAAGTTACAATTCCATGTTTTCACTTCTGCAGGAAATGTATATTTCTATCCAAATAACACTCTATACAGCAAAAGGATAAAAGCCAAAAGGTGTAAGTTGTAGCAAGAACCTTCCAGCTAGATATAACAAAAAAGCTACTCACAACAAGAGCAATCCAGCACTGAAACAAGTTGCCATGGGAGCATGCAGCATCTCCATCCTTTTAGCTTGCCTAGACAAGGCACTAAGGAACCTGACCTTCAACTTAATCCTAGTTTGACCTGAGGGCTGGACCAGATAACCTTCAAGGGTCCTTTCCAAAATAAATTATTGTATGATTATCTAGTAAGCCAGCTACTTTGGAACAGCTTATGAGCAACCAAAAGCTCATAAAAGACTCTAGATTAGCAATTTGGTTTTAGCAGTCTATGGAATCCCAAAACCACACTGCTGATAAAACCCTTAAGATGTAGAGAAGTTGTCTCCCAGTATCTCCTAATACCTCAACCCATCATCATTCACTTAACCTAAATCCCTGCTCTCCACTGTCTTCTATTTTTCCCCAGGATGCACTTTTGAGATTGCAAGCAGTTCCACATCTCCATCCATCAAATAACTGTCTGTATAAACTGCAAGATATGTCACATCATCTAGTTCAGTGAATTTTCTCATCTTCAAGTTACTCATTCATGTAACAGATAAGTCACATGCCATAAAAATTCACCACCTTTAAGCAGGAAACTACTATATAAACACCAGGAACAATTAGGTAAGCAAGCTGAAAACACTTTATTACTACTGCCTTGGACTAAGGTAACCATGAAGTTAGTTCTAACACTTGACCAGTGACAGAAGAAATAGGGTTTTGGACCCTCAATTCCATTTTCAATGCTTCTGACTACAGGATCTAAAATGACAAAAATAGGCTAAGTTTCTCCTACTTAGGGTCATCTTGCCTGGTGTACAGCTGAACAGAAAGGCTATGTTTAGACAGTAGATTAAAGAAATAGCATAAACATTTCTGCTAGTCTAGGCAATTCAGGTTAGCATTTACAACAAATCCACCATATCAACCTCCTATCAATCCTTTTCTTCCAACAGAAGACTTGTTCATATAGACCAGGAAGACAATATTACTAACAGTTTCCAGCAGTACTAGAACTTCAAAACTTGAATCTTTGCATTATTTTAACAGATTAAGAAAGTTGCTTTTTTTTTTTTAAGAAAAAAACCTAACCCAACACTTTTTTTTAAAGAGCCAAGAAACTACAGCTAGAAGGGTAAGGAATCTCTACCATGACTAAGCAAAACCAAGATTAAGCAATTGATAAAGAGATTAAGCACAGGAGCTGAGCCAAAAAAGGTTAAAAGAGTGCATGAACAGTAAAGATTATGCAAGCAGATGTGCAAATATGGCATGCTCACCAAAATCCTGCCCTTGAATCCATTCTGGTAAGCATTCGGTTAAAGGACTGGACAAAAGTTGAGGGATCACTCAAGTTCAGTGCCTTGAAATGTACAGTACATTTAAGAAGCAGAAGTTGGGTCTAAACAGTTTTGGCAATATCTGGGAGAGCCTAAGTCCTCAAAGAATTCCTTCAGCAACATGGGGTTGGGGGGGGTTGTTTAGTTTTCTTAAATATTACACTGAAGAATCATGCTGCCCCAAATAGAAAAATATATGCAGCATCGTCATCAAAAAAGGCAGCAAAACTCCTTGGAAAACATGCTTAACAAACTAGATATCAACATGGAGCAAAACTCACCAAACTACACATAAAGCACTAGCAGCATGCACACTCACATGTTGCAATGAACCTAAACCCTACTCATACAAGTAAATAAAATACTAGTTATTCCAGCAAGTTGTCAAGACCACATGGTTTAAACTAGCTCCCACCAAAAATTGACCAGCCAGACAAACAAGTGGATACCTACCACTATAACTGCGTATACATTAATAGTATTTCACAGAGTACTTTAACAAACTACCTGCAGGTTGCTGACTACAGAATGATCATATACTAATTTGTTCCCCAAATCCCCTCCCTTGCGCCACTACAAAGCAGTCACGTAGCTACATGGGCAGCCTCACTGAGGCACTCCAGCTTTTCTGTGTAGGATTAGTTTTTGGTCTACTTAGTAACTGACACCTCTGTCTACAAAACTTCAATATTAGCATCACCACAGTGACTGTGGCCAACCCTCTCAGTGGCTACCACACATGAACTGACAGGGACAAACTCACACTGACCTCTACTATCACAGCTGGACAACTGATACTATTTTTCCCCTCATACAAGCAAGATTAAGGTAGAGAGAACACATACAGAGTTCCTAATGAAGCCATCTCACAGATGTTACTAGTAACCTGCTACACACAGTACTTTGAAGCTAAACGCTTTTCTTTTAGATGGCACCTCTGTCTAAAGACGCAAACCTGCAAACAACTAGCACATAATACAAGTAATTAATAAAAATACTTTACCTCCCCTAATAAAAGGGAGCAACTGCAACATCTCAGAAAGGGCAAGAAGTGATTTTTCTATCAAAAGCTGAGCATTTTCCATGGCTCGCAAAATTTATTTACACACAGCCTTTGTTCACACTTCTGTATGGTAAAAAAAGGCCTGCTACCAGAATTTCTACTTTAATGAAGAGCCTCTGAATAGACCCTGGAACTGCAAGCCTGCAAGACTACACAGATAACTATCAAACTGAAATTCTGCTGATACAAATAACTGAAGTGTTTCTGCAGGCAAAATCATGGTTGAAGGGAAATGAAAAAGCTTTTGCTGATAAATTAAGCCAGTCTAGCTCATTCCTAGGACACTGACAATATAATAACAAATATTTAAATTACACGCGTAACAGAAGTCCACAAAAAGCCAGTATTAGTGCATAGCACAGACTAATTCTTAACAGCAGTACATTCAAAAGCTTCAGATAAAGCGAATAAGCAGTTAAATTCATTGCTCTCATCTGCATCAGAACTCTGCAATTACTTCATCCTAAACACATATCACCTCTTCTCCCCCTGACTACAGTCATGCAACTTTCTCAGTGTCATAGTTCAAAACTCTACTAAAGTGTAACTATCTTAATTCACAGCTCCTGCCCCCTTTCCACACCTAGGGAATCAAATCTAGGCTCCAGTTTAACTTTTGGGGATAGTAGCAAAGGTCTCCATCAGCAGCAGCCTCAGAAATTCAAGTTTTGCCTTCTGCACTACAGGGAATAAGAGGCAGAAAGGGGCAGTGACAGAGCCAGAAAGACCTGGAGAACCTCTGCTCTACTGTGCAAGACAAACGCTTGTTTGTTTTAAGGTCACTTTCATGTGGTTTGAATCCTCCAAATTATTTCCATCACCTATTTAAGTTACTGGACAGAAATTGTATATTCATGTAAAATTTTAGGAGCCTAGGAGAATGGATCTCTCTATGAGAACATATTTTTGAAAACCATCATTAGGGTTTTAGATGAACTGCAAAAGAAATGTCCAAGAGCTGGGTGCCCATTTCCCCACTTACAAAACAACTACAGCTTTCAGTGTCTTGTCTAAAAGACTTCAAGAAGTGCTATTTTTCAAAGCACTTCCAAATCCCCCTACACACTTCAGAGCTTAAGGAAGTTTTAATCCTTAGACTGCAAGGTTCTGCAATAAAAATTCACATGGTACACTGACAGACTTCAAAATGTACCAACACCTTTCGATGCAAGCTATTCATTACCTTAAACATGGAAGCTATTTACTACTCCTCCACCATATCACCATAGTGGATTGATACAACTTATCACCACTTAGTGGGGAGAATACTTTTAATTCTGAGAGAGTAAAACAACATTTGTTTTTCTGCACTTTATTTGATCAGCATTCCAAAACACATTTTGTTGGAGCTGTCCATTCTGCTTAGAAACAATGCTAGGAAGCACAAGTTCTCACCTTATGAAAAAAAATTCCATTGACCATTAATATTTTCAATAAATTTTTAGACCACTAACAATTGAAGTAACCTAAACAAAGTCTGTATTAGATTAATATTAAATATATACCATAGTTAGTTTCCAGAACAAGGAATTTCTCTCGGGTAGAGACGTTCGTGTTCTTGGTAGCTTCTCTGCCTAGCTTAAGGAATCCAAACAAGTTCCCACAAAAGCCATAAGGAGGACTCTCACCACAATGGCAAATGGATCAGGACACCTATTATGTCATTTTTATTTTATAGTCCCAGATACTCTTGTTTAGCTCACTAGCTTAACACCAAAACATGACTAGTGGAGTTGCTTTATTAAACTCCAAAGAAATATTAGCAAGCATTACCAACATACTTAATCTATTAATTAACATTTAATATTATTCACATATGTAATCATCTGTAGTACAGATAGAGCCATAAGATCCCGCTGTGAGTACACATGCATTTCTAGTAGCTATTTTTCCTTAAATGGTGTATTACAGGTTAATGCAGTGGCTGCAAAGATTGCTTCTCAAATTAAGAAATGGGACTGGTCAAGTCAGTTTCCACCCCCAGTTCTTCACTCTCCAGTGAACTGACACTTTTACTTTCTTACTGCTTGGGAAGAGGAAGAATGAGGTGATGCTTTAGTAGTGCATCCACTTTAGTACTGCTGGACTACTTAATTCTTGAAATATTTTAAGCTTTTCTACTCCTGCACAGAGCTACAGGAAGTAAAGCTGTGTTTGACCAATAATGCTATTGAAAGAGCTAACATAAT